GAAAAAAGGTCCGCTACCTCCTACCCGGCATAACTCCTCAATGAAACATCATAATAAGTTGGGAACTTCACAGTTAGAATCAACAACTCTAATCAGCTTGCTATAAAAGCTTTCAGACTGTTTTGTTTCCTTTCTGAGGCAAAATATGGCCTTTCATGGCTACCCTCTTTAAAGTTTCTACCGTAATCCTGCAGCAATGAAAAGAGATAAGTAATTCATTCTATACTGCAAATCTAAGTTAAAGCCAGCTCTATAAAATAGTACCTGAAGCAAGGCAAAAGACTTGTTGAGAAAAAAGATAATAACGATCAAACAGTGTATACATACTTTACGGACACCCTGTATATAAGATCGAATGGTGCACTCGTCTATAGGTTGGTGGAGCATGCCTGATGTTGTTGATGTCTGTAGGTTCCCGGTGTTTTTGTGGTCGTAGATGTTTTCGTTTCTGCTGTTTGCAATCAAGCGCAGCGCATGTTATGGTAAGATAGCTGGTAATGGCTTCAATCCGAAGCAGTTTTATCGATTTTGTTTGAGTTAAACCGGGATTTGGCATAGGAGGTTGAAGATCATGGATGTTGATCACATATACATCCTATTTAAAAATAAACATTATCGTTGATGCGTTGACCGCACGGACTGCTCAGACGTGGCAGCCTGCGCGGCGGACCCCTTTTTTAAAATAAACATTATATACTTCTCGAAGTTATCGATTATTTGCAAACTTTGAACTGTGGAGCTGGGAGGAACAGGGGGGTAAGCGAGCATGCTGATTAGGAATATGATAACTTTTTTGAAAATACCCATTACTTCTATCTTTATCGATTTTTTGCAAAGTTTGAGCTATGGGGCTGAGAGTTGGCACAGGGCGGTAATCGAGCATGTTGATTACGAATACAATATCAGTTTTTGGAATTACCCTTACTTTTATCAATTTTATCGATCTTTTGCAAAGTTTGAGATAGAGGGGGAATTGGCACAGAAGGGTAATCAAGCATGCTGATTACGAATATGATAACCATTACCGATGGCCATTACTTCTATTGATTTTATCGATTTTCGCAAAGTTTGAGCCAGGCGCTGAGGGTCGGTACAGGCAGGTAAGTGAGCATGCTGGTCACGAACACATCTTATTTCAAAAAGTAATCGATTACCTTTATTGAACTTACCGATTTTTTACAAACTTCAAGCTACGGGACTGGGAGTTGGCACATGTGAAAAAGCGAGCATGCTGATTACGATTATAATGAGTGTTCTTGAAAGTAACCATTATCGATTTTATCTATTCTTTGCAAAATTAAGGCTTCACGGCTGGCATTTGGCACAAAGTTGTGAGCCGCTTACTGCGAATATAATAACTATTTTTGAGAACACCCACTGCTACTATCGATTTCTTCCCTTTTCTTTCAAAGCTAAAGCTTCGAGGCTGAGAATTGGCGCTGGGGCGGGGATAAGTAAGCATGCTCCGCTTTCTCTGGAAGCAGAAAAGCACAGGGAGCTTGGCCTTGAGGAAAGAACAGACCCATGCGACAGAACAAATTTGCTATGTTTGGTCCTTCTACTTCACAAAAACCACTCTTCTGCCCCTAAAAGCAAAGTATAGGGAGCTTGGTTCCGAGGGAAGGAAAGATCTAGGTTTTTATGCGACAGGACAATTTCGGTGAGATTACCTCTCACAGGGCGTTGAGCCAGCTTTACGTTGGTAGCAGCTTGTTTTCTTGAGAGCTGGCACACATACACTTCGGGGCCGGGAGGGTGTCATAGGCTACCTTTCATTATCGATCGATATCGATTTTATCGATTTTTATCGATATTTTGTAGTTTGACCAGCGGGGCTGGGAGTTGGCACAGAGAGGAGGGGTGATCGAGCATACTGATTACGAATACAATATTAGTTTTTGGAATTATCCATTAATTTTATGTTTTGCGATTTTTTTGCGAAGTTTGAGTTAAGGGGCTGGGATTTGGCACAATGATTACGATTGCAATATTAGCTTGTCTCTATTCGGCTATCCGGGCCCCAAAATTTTTTTTGCCGTTGAGCTTACTCAGACTTCGTCTATAAGGGTTATCTTGCATGCTGATTACAGATATCACGCTTTCTCCTCAAAATCATGGATTTGGCTGGAATTCGGCCCAGAGGGCTTATTCGACATGCGGATTACGAACATCATACTCTCTCTGCACATTGGTACCTTTTCATAGAGTTATGGTTGTTATACTGTATGGGATGAAAACATAGATTTGCTCTAAACTCCGTCTAGGGTGGTCATTTGGCGCGCTGAGCGTGATTATCATGCTGATTTCGCAGGATAGCGCCATTTTCTTGATTACGGTGGGCGTACGGTAGATGGGTCGAAGCTCCAAATATGCTCAAAACCTTACCTGGAACGGTTTACGAGCATGCTGCTTATAGGCACCTTCCACCCAAAATTCCGACCTCCATGTTTTTGCCGTTTCAGGGCCTTCTCATACCCCTGATTTTGAATATCAAATCAGAAATCCGCGTGCAAGAAAAACACCCGTTTTCAGAACCCGCAGAGCAATTTCTTCGGAACCGTGGTTGGGCGCGCACGGATAGGCGGGGCAACGTCACGCCCACTCAAAGGGGAGGAGCCAACATGGCGAATCTGTCATCCGAGCGATTTTCGAAGCAATTTTCTCGCTTTGGAAGCAACTTTTGCCAGCGCGAGTTGGATAAGTATACAGTTGGGGACCCCACTACTGTTAGGCATCAAAATCTCATCGACCCAATTTTGGGTGGATGGTGCCTTTATGAATATGATGTTGTCATAACGCATTATTGTGAAGTTACGGTGAGTTGCAGGGTTTGAATGGACATTTTTTGGCTTTCGGGCCAAATTAGATCTCAGATATTCATGAAATGGGGAAATGGTCGTTTTGTAGGGCAGTCTCCAGCGCCATCCTGATAACCTGTCCCTAGCGTAACTACGCGGCAAATCCCCCCCCCCCTGTTCTTTGCTTAGGCAAAAGCCGCCGAAGGGCGTATCGCGCGCGGCTAAGGAAAAGTTACGGTTGTGAGAAACCCTTCTATACCACGCGAATTGCCTTTATCGTGGGGATTAAGAACGATATTCTTAAAACAGCACTTTAGGTAATTTCCTGCCAAGGTTTTAGGCAGGTTCATGATTTTTACCCGCTGTCACGGGAAGTGACTACGATATTTGTCGTCAAGCGGCTCAAGTAACCCCCATGTACCGAGTTTGAGCAAGATCCATCACAAAAACCTTTTTGGGGCCCGGGCCGAATAGCGCCATCGGTGTGGTGCGGAAGGCGACAATCCCCAATTTTGTGCATATCAAAAACTCCGGTGTCAAAGTGACACCCCGGGGACTACGGGGTGGGGGGGGGGGGGGTGGGGGCAGATACATTACTCAATGCCACAAGTAGACATCCGTGAAAGTCATTGAGACGGATGATACACAGCCTCCATTTTTCGCCGATTGTCGCCTTCCGCGTGCCTTCCTAGCGCCATCAGTTTTTAGAACTCTTACCTTAATCGATTTCAATGATTTTTTTGCATCGTTTGAGCTACGGGGCTGGGGGTTGGGGAGGTAGGTAAGTGAGCATCTGATTACTGACAAATACTCAGATAATCGCCGAGAGCAGGCGGCCATGCGATTTATGGGCAGGCGGGGACAGGAAAAATAGTTCGCTGATTTTTTGCGGTCCGCTTGCAGATATTTGGAAGAATGCTGGCGAAATTTTAGACGAATGCTCGGAGAACAATCGCGGCCTTTTCATGGGTTATTTGCGGAGCATAGGCCGCATTCTCGCGGACTTTCCGCGAGGATATGCAAAATAGTTGAGAGCCGCAGGGTCCTTTGTGAAGGACCGCACAGCTCGTAGATACTTTATGTCGGAAAGTACCCCAAACTCGCGTAATTAAACCATCAGTGATACCCTCTGCCATGTAAAGTGTACCTTCCCTCGGCGTACAGCCAACTGCTTAACAAGAGTCAGAACGCCCGCTGAAAATTTGGCCGGCGCTTGCTGAAAGGAATTACTTGACGACCGCTTGCAGAAAATTCTGTATTGCTGCGATAGCAAAGGAAGTACCGCACGCTGAAGGTGTGCCCACGTCCCAAAATTCTGCGGACCGCTTGCAGAAAAGCGCGAGTTTGCGGACTGCCTGGCCCCCGACGATTGTCTGAATAGGGAATTGCATGTAGAAGTGGGCACAGGGAAGGGTTGTACAGGGATAGGAATGGAACCTTTGCTGTTTCTAACAGGGCCGGGCGGGACCGGGTAAGCCAGCTATTACTACTATTATTTTTCTATTTGTGCCGCGCATCTTCTAGTCTCGCTCTTTATTGGGTGAGTCAGCAACAGCTATCAATCACTCGTTCACTGCACTCACTTTCTCACAATGGTCCCATCCTTGTGCAGCGGCTTCAATCATCGATCGTTTGAGCGAAGGTACGATCCAGTCGAAAGCTGGTGAAAAAGGTCTGCCGCAGTACTGCAAGAAAAAAAGCAATAGTTTATGATGGTTTTCTACAGGCTGGACGAGCACCCTGGACCTTCATTTTGCACGTCACTACTCTTCTCGATCATATCTGTAACAGAGAAAGGAAGTAAGGAAGAGGATCGAATCGCGAATAAAATAATAGAAGACTTTTCAAAGGAATGCCCTTTGCGACGACAGATGGACACTGAGAATATCGGAGTGGATCCGTTGCGAAGCAAATCGTTACCAGGAAGAGCACCAGCAAAATGGCAAACTTGTTTGTGGAAAGGATGGACCAATCGAGAAACAGCAGCTGGATACGATTTTTGCACCAGGATTTCTCGTACGCAACCGACGACAAGTGAGAAGATCGTAGTCTGATCGAAGGACAGAGGCAAATGTGGAGGTCCGCGCGACACGTGAAGCCCGAGCAAGACTACAGCGATGAGTAAGCGTAACTTCCTCAATTTGACCTCATTTGAATTGGAATAGACAGCATATATTTTCAAAGAAAGCTATTATTGCTCACTTCAAGGGCCACATCGAATGCGGCGTGTAGTAGTTTAAGAAAAAGCAGCTGATGGATATTGCTGTTGCATGGCCGGAAAACAACATATCACCACAATGGATCTTGTTGTCATGTGCTTGCACTTGAAGTCCCATCTGGAATTAGCAAAAGCTGTGCAGCCTGCTCAGCAGTATCAAACACAATAATGAACTCTGTCATTTGACGAAGCTGTGTGATCTAACTAACCGTTGTCACTATACTCAAGAATTTGCTGTAAACACTTTCGAATGATGGGTACGGATCTGGATTTGGAGGTACGCAGATGCTGAAAAATGTGACTGCTGAAATACATGGTTAATCGAATAAGTGAAAACATGGCTCTCTTTGCGCAGCAGCAAAAGATGTTGCCAGTAATGAAGGAAAACGAAAAAGGCAAGGGTTTTACTTACTCGGTTTCAGCAGAGAAACTTGCCGGAATATGTGTGAGACAAATGCTGACAGCGCGCATGATATAAAGCACAGTGGCTATATAAAAGAGGCGTCTGGATACAATCCACCTAAAATGGGAGAGTTGCACACCGTTGCACGCTGATAAGGAACTAAGCGGAAAATAGGAAAAAAACAGGAGACAAGCTTGACCAACCTATGCTTGTGAAATACAATTATAATGATAAAAAGCAGTACTAGTGCTGCTGAAGCAAAGATGTCCGACAAATGTCTTGGAGTGTCGTATTGTTTTATGAGCGAATGCGTTAAATCAGGAAGAGGGATGCTGAAAAACGCGTCTATGTGTCTTCCGCTTAACATTTTTTTGAAAGTCTCCAAATTTGGAGACATCGAAATTCAGCAGCCTTGCATTAAGCATTTACTGTTTTTGTATTTGGAGTCTCGAGATCCAACAGCTTGCACTAAGCACTTACTAAGCACGGTAGCTAAGCATAATGTGGTGGATGAGTGGCTTTAATGCCTTAGGCGAAAGGATGGCATTCAGGAGTATGGTGGCTCCTGCGCAGGGCTCGGCACGAGGTGGCTTACAAGCAAGCTGGGTATCGTTTTTGGGACGAAAAGCAAAGGTGGTTTCGTTTTTGTGACCGAAGGGACACGGAAAATTGGCGACGCGGCGACCTTTTTTTTTAGTCGACGTTTCGTTTTTTGGGGGATTTTGGGGAATTTTTCAGGTTTTTAGAGGAAATTTGGTTGAGGGTCAAAGGGGTTTCGTAAAAATTCCCAAAAGTCAAGGGGGACTTCGTTTTTTCCATTTTGATCTAGCCACCTCGTGCCGAGCCCTGCTCCTGCGTGTTGCACAGAACACATAAGACATAGAGCTTTATTGAGGAAGATATAGGGCATTTGAAAAATCGTGACGATGGCGCGACCGCACGCGACACGCACGCACTCCCATTTCTTGGTTTATATCTTTGATAAAATAGTTTTTCTGCTTAAGTACGATAGCATTCAGACACTGGAAGTGACTGAGCTAAGCGTTGAGGTGATGCCGTTTTATATGGGTGTTTCATGCTCCTGTGTGCGCCAGGACCGCAATCGACTCGTCGTCACGATTACAAAAATAAACCATACTTGCACCCATTCGCATAGTAGTGGGATGCTGTGGTCATAGCCGTGGCGAAGTAATTCACAAGCATCTGGGCATTAAGACTCATTTTACAGCGAGCCTTGTCTATAGCGGCATGAACTTTACATGCTTGGAGGTAGCGTCCAGGAAATTTTGGACTTTTTTTGCCACTATCATAATGCTAAGGCCTAAGGTAGACCCTTCGCATTTCGCGAAATCGCCACATCTACGCGACTTGCGATTTTGCCAGATGTCTACAGATCAAGTGTGCGCGGCTCTCAGATGCATGGGCACATAGATTTCTTAAGTTGTACCAGATGCATCGAGTCCGGCCTAGACAGAGTGCGTTTACGACCAGCTATGCAGAGTTCTTGCAGTGGCTGGTCGCGCAGCGACTAAATTCGCGTGAGGTATGCCTTCCGAGGTGTTAGGATATTAGGTAAAGCCTTAAGTAGTATGCGCCAACCGGCTTCCAAACATCGCCTTCCGAAGAAGAAAATAGTCATGCAAACTAATAAATCCGGAAATTCGCTCACTTTCTTCGAGGCCATCCTCCCCGAACGAAATTTCCTCAGCCCTTGACGTGTTTTCACATGGCAAACGCAGCTGAAGACATACTGTCTGTTTAATGCTTGCTAAAAATAGAGCCAAGAGCAAATAGCCGAAAGGCCTTCATTCAAGATTCACGCTTTTCAAGTGCCTTATTCGAATCCAGCCCTGTAAAGGCCCAAATAAGGGAAAAAATACTCGAAATTCTGGCGCTGCCTTCAAGCAAGATGATCTATGGCTATGAAGAAAGTGCTGATAATGACGGCACGCTTCTGCCAGCGAAAGGAATCTACAGCGACATGAGCAATGACAAATATGAATGATCAATCATGGCATATGCCCACATGTCTAATACATATGCCGTACTTGATCCACTTGATCCGCTTGATCCTTGATCCGCTTCACTACTAGTTGAATCAGTAAATGACTGGTAGCGAAGTAGATCAAGTGGACATCCGCTCTTCTGTTTGTTGATCACTAGCTGGTTTACCCGGCTCCGCCCGGCTTCGTCAAAAACGATAAAGGTCCCTTTCCTATCCCTGTACAACCTTTCCCTGTGCACACTTCTATATGCAATTCCCTATTCCCGCTGTGTTAGCAATCAGCATGCTCACCTACCTCCCTCAACAACCCCCAGTACTGTGGCTCAAACTGCAAAAAATCAATAAAATCGATAAAAGGGTAATTCTATAAACTGATGGCGCTATTCGGCTATCCGGCCCCAAAATGTTTTTGTGACGGATCTTGCTCAAACTCGGTACATGGGGGTTACGTGAGCCACTTGATGACAAATATCGTAGTCATTTCGCGTGACAGCGGGTAAAAATCATGAACCTGCCTGAAACCTTGGCAGGGAATTACCTAAAGTGCTGTTTCGAGAATATCGTGCCTAATCATAAAGCAATTCGTGTGGTATAAAAGCTTCCCACGACCGTAATGCTTTCCTTTTAGGACCACTGCGCGCGATACACTTCGGCGACTTTTGCCTAAGCAAAGAACGGGAGGGGGGGGGGGAGATTTGGCGCGTGCGTTATGCGTTGGGACAGGTTATCAGGATGGCGCTGGAGACCGCCATGCAAACGACCGTTTCCCCATTTCGTGAATATCTGGGATCTAAATTGGCCCGAAAGCGAAAAAATGTCCATTCAAATCCTGCAACTCAAAATAACTTCACAATAATGTTATGACAGCGAGCAAGCATCATATTCATAAGCAGTATGCTTGTGAACCGTCACAGGTAAGGTTTTGAGCAAATCTGAAACTTTGACCCACCTACTGTACACCACCGTAACCCTAGAATATGCGCTATCCTGCGTCAGCATGATATTCATGTTCAGCGCGCTAAATGATCACCCTAGACGAAGTTTGGAGCAAATCCATTTTTTCGATCCCATTCCGTGTAACCACCGTTTCATAACTCTATGAAACGGTCCCATGCAGAGAGTATGATGTTCGTAATCAGCATATCGAATAAGCCCTCTGGATAGAGTCCAGCACGGGGGACGTAGAGAGAAAGTGTGATATCTGTAATCAGCATGCAAGATAACCCTTATAGACGAAGTTTGAGCAAGCTCTACGAAAAAAAAGCGCCAAACTAATATTGCATTGCAGTTGGCACAAAGGGGTAATCAGCATGCTCGATTACCCCTTTGTGCCAACTCCCAGCCCCGTAGCTCAAGCTTTGCAAAAAAATCTATAAAATCGATAAAACTAATGGATAATCCCATAAACTGATATTGTATTCGTAATCAGCATGCTCGATCACCCCCCCCCCCTGTGCCAACTCCCAGCCCCTCAGGTCAAACTCTGCAAAAATAATCGATATCGATAGAATCTATATTGATCGATAACGAAAAGTGGCCTATGACACCCGCCCGGCCCCGAAGTGTATGTGTGCCAAGTTTGGTCCGGATCGGTTCAGAAATAGAAATTTATATTCGGGACATACGTACAGACAGACATACAGACAAACAGACATTCAGCTTTATATATGAGACTAGCGACCCTACGGGTCGCTAGCAAGCGGGTTGGGGCAGACCAGTAGATAAATGCTGTTCCAAACCTATAATTTTCTCAAGTGATTTTCCAAACTATCAGTATATGTATTGCCACAACCGCTCAAAAGTAGCATTTACGGAGATTTTCTCAATTTGGGCGGAAAGGGGATCATATCGCTCTAAATTATTGTTTTGCCCCAATCACAGTTGTACAACTTCCCTTAGCAAGGTCACTCTCGCACTCACGCTTACATTTTGGAAAGAAAAATCATCCACCCAGAGCAAAAGCTCCCAAAAGCGAGATTTTCGGGGATTTTCTCAAAATTTGACCGAAAAGTGAAAAATAGTTCCAAAAATAACTCAACTGACATGAATGGGAAGAGGAAGACGAACGAGAGCATAATAGATACGAGAATACTAATAATAATTAAAGAATAATAATAATAATATAATACGGGATGGAATGTGAGCGGATCTATACATGGTATATGATTCTATCTATAACTAACATTGAGTCGCCATCTCACATATTTCAACACACTTGGCACGCATTTGCGTATTTCCACATAACTATTGCAGCAGCAAAGCGTACCCTGCGTGTCGTGGTCTCTCTCGTTCGCGCTAGGACCTCTGCGCCCTCCTGACCTCATGGTCGCACTGTCGCGTCTCTATACAATAAGGCCGCGTTCGGCAACTGGCGTCTATTCAAAACAAACGTTGAAGCATACATGTTGGCGGACCAACCTTGCCGTCTCGTTTTTTGGGATCGGGCTTATACAGGGTGTCCCAAAAAAATGTTAACACTGTTTGATCGTTAATAACTCCCTTGATTTCATGTCTTTCGGCGAGCTTGAGGCACCATTCTGTAGAGCGAGGTTCAACTTAGATTTACAGTATGGAGCGAATTACCGTTCGCTCCTCGTTACGGTAGGATTACGGTGGGAAATTCCAGCATGTGGAACCGTTGTGAAATATGCCCTCTGACAAAAATTCTTTCAAAAAGTCTGAAAAATCGTGTACTAGGGTTTTCGCGCACGCTGATTTTACTACACAACTTTTTACGAGTGTTTTCAGCTTTTTTGACGATGTAATGACATTTTTGACACATGCTGGGAAGTCAGTTATTACACTTTACCTAGGATAACTTTGAAAAAAGTATCATAATAAAATGGAAGCTTCATATTTGAAATCAGCGGCTTTCATTACCATAGTACAAGAGATTTTGGCTTGTTTGGCTGTGTTTCGAAGCAGAAAATGGCCTTTGATGGCCTAAAATCCTTGTCAAAATTTCTACCGTAATTCTACAGTAACGAGGAGCTTTAGATGATTCGCTCCATACTTTAAATCTAAGTTTATCCTCGCTCCACAAAATGGTACCTAAAGCTCGGCGAAAGACTTAAAAGCAAAGGAGTTATTAACGAACAAACAGTGTTAACATTTTTTTGGGACACCCTGTATTAGGTTGATTCATAATTAATGCACGTTTTTATCACCTCCTCTTCCAGGAGCTGGTATTTGACGTGATCAATTTCCTCAAAAACCTTTTATACTGCCTAAAAGAGCGTTTTTTCTACTTTCTTATGCGGTCCGTCGCTTTCGTAAATCTCCGCTCATTCCAAAGTTCTGAGTCTTTAAACAAAAGAGACTAAATCC